CCAGAAACAAAACACCAACAACCAAAAGACTCCATACGACTACGGCTCCATCATGCACTATGGAAGAACAGCCTTCTCCATCCAGCCCGGGCTGGAAACCATCACTCCCATTCCTGATGAGATGGTGGAAATCGGACAGAGGCAGGGAATGTCCAACACCGACATCCTGAGGATCAACAAGCTGTATGGATGCTGAAGATGAGGAATAATTAAATATATATCATGGGTCTTTGCTTTCTGGTGGTGTTCAAATTTGTAATTGTGTTGGGAAAAATAAAGTTAAAGTACAAAGCAACTTAATTTTATTTTGCAATAATAACAGGTCCCACTTATACATGGCTACTTAAAAAAGGACATGAAATACTGAACTGAGACAAATATTAAAGGGGACCTAACACACACAATTTCACCCAATTTCATATTAATCTTGTGTATCTATATAGTACTGCATCCTTCATATCTCCAAAAAGTCTTTAGTTTTATCATATTTATAAAATAAAGATACAGCTTTACGATTCTCTCCGAAAACAGCCGAGCTCCTGGAGGCGTGCCGTGGGCAGAGCTAAAGAGTGACGAGCATTTGCCCGATTGCCAACAAAACACAGACATTTGATCTCGTTTCACTTACCATCTGCAGTTCTGAATCATGACCGGGATCTTTTATTGCTGGGACTGCTCCATCTTTCAGTATCAAACGATGTGCAAATCCAGCGTCAAACTGGGCCTTGTTTATAAAAAGTTTGTCAACAAACACACTTGCGAAACTCCGTTCCTGCCCTGGAAAACAAACTGCATCCACTGTTTACGTAACGCTGGATTCTTCGTAGTGATGGGACGATTGATACCGAGGCTCCGATGCTCCGACGGAGTTTTCAAAGCACTATAGTATCATACACTGTGGCGATGCTTGTATCAAAATGACAATACCACGTGATTGATGACGTTTGAAGCTTCGAACATCATGCAGTATCGGGAGGTTGGGATAGCTGGTTTGAAAAATAATTGGCGCTTCGCAAGACTCGTGTTTGATTTTACATTGACTTTGTTGTGTGTGTGTGCACACTTATTTGGGATTCAGTAGAATAGACAGAAACTAAATGCACGTCACACCTCTATTGCATTTTATCATGTTCTAGCTGGGCTCTCAGAGACCCCGAACATCTCACCCAAAATATTTTTGCTACTACTCACGTCAATTATTATAATCACACACGTGTATATTTTATATTATTGATCAATATGTAAATCCATTGACCGGACTTCGCATGACACGAGTTGGCACAGATTTCAAATTTCAAACCATCCTCTGCTCCGCGATGTTTCGTTAGGCCATGTCCACACATACATGGGTATTTTTATAAACTGAGTTTTTCCTTCCATTTTTAAAAAAATCTCTGTCCACATGAAAACGCAAACACATGCTATGAAACACTGTCAAGAGCATGCCAAACCAACAGGTAGCGATATAATCTCAACTGTAAAGCCATGTTGGCCAATCAGAAGCCTGAAAAAGTTTCCAGTAGGCGGAGATAACAGCGCAGCCAAAAACTCCGGTTTCGCTGTCTACACAATAACACTGCAACCGGAGTTTTTGAAAATCTTCACCCTGGCAGGCGTTTTCAAAAATGTTCCGTTTTAGTGACCTGGTGCTGCGTTTGCATGTGGATGAACGGCCAAACCGCGTAGAAAAAGCTGCGGTTTAAAAAAATAACCACGTTCATGTGGAAAGGGTCTTATAGGCTGGAATCTGACCACCAGATGTCGCTAATGCGCACTGTGTTAAAAAACTTTGTGATAAAAAATTTAAATGAAAAAATGAACCGTTTTTCGGCACAATTTGATGAAAGCCTCAAATGGTTCAGAAAGCCTCGGTTTCCCATCACTAATTCTTCGGCAAGCTGAACAAGGTTATCTTTCCCTTACAACCAAAAACACCTCTTTAGAGACATTCTTCCCGAGCGAGTCCCGTGCAGCGCTGCTGAATGAAGCGCTTGATGGGCGTGCTCTTGCTCTGGCTCTGGTCGTGTATGCGGGCGTGCTCTTCCAGGAGAAATGCCCATATAAGGAGTTACACCCTTCATTACGTCATGAAGAGCCACGATCGAAAAAAACTTTCAGAAACTTGTAAGAAACCCAGAAGTGTGTATTTGGCACAGAAATACTATATGTTATATGTCCAAATCATTTTTTTTTAACTTTGGCCATGTTTAGCATGATAATTCAACTCTTTAACAGTGTTTTGTAAGTCACTTTGGATAAAAGCAATCTGCTAAATGACTAAATGTAAACAACTCTGAATGCATGAAACATCATTGTACCCCCCTTTAATCAAAGTGTCAGAGTGAAATCATGCCTGTATTATTTTAAAGTATAAAAGTCATATATTTAGCATAAACTCCAAAATATAAATTACAAGAAAATTCCAAAAATATGTTTGTGAGTTGACCCCATTGAACTGAATGCTTTTGTGGTTTGCACTTGGCGGTAAAGAAATCACATCTCTCTTCTTCTTCTTCTTCTTCTTCTTGTTTTATGGCGAATAACTCCTTAGGAGCATTATCGTCACCTACTGTACTGGAGGTCAAGTAAACTTTCATAGGTGATGAGTCTGAAATTTGAGCACCAAAAAACAACAACATTCAAAACACCCAAAAACCATGGTGGATGTTTCCTATTCTCACTAATCTATGACGCACTCAGATCACAAGCTCATGCTAGCGCTGCGTGTTCAGCTCCTCTAACACTCTCAATTAGCTCTTCATGCCCCAGATTAGGTAGAATACTCCCATCCACACATATTATAATCTAGATCCTAAACCTGAGTCATAGATATATTTAATTAGTGCTCTGTATACCTGTCTATCCATTAAACCTTTTCCTAAAATATCTTCATGTGTCAGTCTTTCCTCCCCAAAGTGACTAAATAATATGTCACGATATACACTATATTTACTACACCTAAAAAGTACATGATATACATTTTCAGATACACCACAATCCATTTTCATGTAAATCAATAAGTGCCAGTGTTGATTTCAACCCTTAATGTCCCAGTCTTAATCTAGACAGCCACACCTCTTCTTTCCTATTTCTTCCCTGACAATTTATCCTCCCTACTGTCGGCGTAATATTATAACACCATCTCCCTGTGCTGCTATTATCCCATCTAATTTGCCATTTATTCATTAACTTT